CTGACTGTATGTGAAGGGCAAATTTGCTACGGTCACTCGATGACCACTGACCAAATGTTTCATATATCAATCATGTAACCTACCAAAGAACAATGTTTGAAACAAAATGTTGACAACAAGACATCACACTTTTTGGAAAAAGTTACTGATAACCAGTTCAGCGGCTTCAGCCAGTATCTGGAGTACCGTTGCATACTTTTAACATAGTTTTGTACAGTTTAAATGTTTAACGTATAAGTATATTTTAAACACCTGATATGACAGCCTTTGTCCAAAATTATTAAAAAGGCTACGTAAGCATGATTTTGTCCCCATTCAGATTCAACCATTCAGAAGGTTAATTTATTTTGTTTATTTGAAATTGCAACATGGCAATAAGAAGGTTCCACCAAAACATTTCAAGCAGTGATGCCTACAGTATTTTTGGACGGTCCTTTTGTCACAATCGCTTTGCACATGGGGGTGGTAATTTCTGATTCCAAGACAACTCGGCCCCTGAGACAACTCGGCCCCTGGCCATTCAGGACAACTCGGCACCAACCCCAAGACAAGTCGGCCCCATAATTTCTCAGCAAATAATATGAATTTTGGGTAAAAAAATTGTAACTGTTATCGATCTAGAAGCCTCCTGACTCTGATTTTAACTTTTTTCTGAGTCTCAGTGACACACTGTAGTATTTCTTATAGCGACAACGGACTTGGCCTGCGCCGCTAGCGTAACGCCCCTGGCGCTAGCGGCGCTATGTCGGCGCGGCCCGTCCGAGTAATCTAAAGCGTGCCGATCCAAGAAACGGCAAGACTTACAATTTATATTGATAAAGAAACTTCGTGGAATCGTGAAGCATGTAGTGGTAAATGTTCAACGTTCTTTTATAATTGTATCCTCGTATGTTTTCGGCGGGCGGGCATGAAAATATTTATACATAGTATGACCCCGTGAGTTTACTCGTAAATTAACCGGACTCAAAGAGTTAAATTATTTAACTCTTTGAGTGGCGCAGTTAAGTCCGTCATCACAAAAAGAATAACATGTCTCAGAAAAGAATGAAGTTAAGATTATTGTCAGGAGGCTACTAATTCTTGGAGCCCAAAATATTGATGATTTGTTGAGAAATTATGGGGCCGACTTGTCCTGGGGTTGGTGCCGAGTTGTCCCAAATGGCCAGGGGCCGACTTGTCCCAGGTGCCGAGTTGTCCTGACACCGTTCTTTCTTCTTTTTTTTTGTCAGACTCAGAGCTTATAAGTTACATGAGTGGTTGCTAGGCATAAAACTCAATTTTACACAAAGGTAACCGTCATATATATGCAATCCAAGATAACGTGACAGGACAGTTGATATTGGGAGAACTAAATTCTACATTTTAGCCACGCTAACAGGATTTTGTTCGTTAGAACAGAGAATTTTTACAACACAAGAGGGGAGGGGGGCGAGAAGGTTCCAGAAACACGTGCTGAAAAGACCGGTCACTAGATATCACTTTTCTCCAAAAAAGAGAGATGGAACGACACCAGATGACCACTTAAACGAAGCTAAACAGATCTCTGATTCTATGAGACTCGATAAAGTTGAGAAAAGAGGCCTTACCGTTCTGTGTGCGGATGTTATCTCCAGTGGAGCGCTCTCCCATCACGGTTAGAGCCGACATCTTGGCTGCTTTTCCTGACAGTCACTGGCCCGGAATGCAACGCGCTAGAAACGCCCTCTATCGGCGGCAGCAGGTAACGTAGCTGCAGTACCACAAACAGCCGCCTAGGAGCGCTTTTGACACGCTGCGCAGATCCCGCGCGCAGGAACACACCGCCATATGCTTGGGAGAGAGTTTCGACCAGGAAAATCCTTGCCGTCCTCCGAAGCCTCGTGAAAACAACAATGTCTCGAAGAAGAAGATACAGTGACGATGAAGACGAAGGTACGTTAGTGAACTGTACTTTTACCACCATGTTTCTCATGTTGTTGCAGTTTCAGCTACGCCGTATCCGGGCTTTGTTGCACTATGTATGAATGGTGGGGAGGGGGGCGATCCACCCAAAAGAACATGAAAATACTATGCGTAAAATAATCATTTAGATACACACATATTTGCAGCAAAGTTATGAATATTGGTTGTAATACT